GTTTTGCACGTGCAAAGGGTCTTATATTTCATATTTGCAGCATCCGCTAACAGCGACTGATGTTTGTGGGTTCATAGGTTTCTCTTTATTGTGAATAAAAAGTTTACAGGTTAAACAGTTTTATTACCTTATTTTTTAATTTCCTCTGCAGTTTCCAGTGTTTGGATCAATAGGACTGTGTGTATGTCTGCAGTTCTTTTTGTGTCTGATCTCAAGCCATTCACTGCTGCTGCTGACTGCACACGTTTGTTCACCCTTTATCTGACTTGGAGGCCTTTCACAATCTTAAACGCACCACTGCCCTCTGGTGGCAGAAAAAAACTTTTTCTCTGGCGACTACAGAACTACTTTAATTTTTAGACCTTTAATCATCCCGTTTTTATCACAACTTATAATAAATCTAAGCGCTTCCAAGAATGTTTTAAAAATTTCTTTAATGTTATATTTAACCAGTAATATGAATGTCTGTTTTCATGGTACCACAGCCTTACCACTATGTTAGTAAACTAGTTAACAAGTAGAGGACGCTTTCCTTCATTAGCGTCACTTTCTTCTGCTTCAGTTATTTCTAAGATTGTTTTCTTTCTTTATGTTTCTGTCTACTTCTTTCTTATTTCACCGTCTTTGCAGGGTTTCATAGCTTTTTTAATATATTTTTTTTATCATAGTATATTTGCATATTTTAAATGTATTAATGGTTTTATTTGACTTTGTTTTATTTTGTCTTGATGTTTATAAGTCTGTAAAACTTTACATGTGATGTTGTATTACACAAAATAGACTTGGTTTGTCTGAGAAAACTCTAAGACCAAAGTTAAAGTTCAGAAAGTCGTTGCTGGAAAAAAAGATAAGAGAAGAAAGCAGAAAAAAGCAGCAAGCAGAGCAAAGGAAGTAAATGTCAGAATCGATTTCTCCATCCCCTCTTATCCACTTTCTGCTTGTCCTTGGCTTATTTGGGGTTAATATAATATTTCTGTGTCTGGCTTTGGAAAAGAGAGAGGCTAAAATCTACTAAACAAGCTTAACACAATCAAGATTCTTTAACAATTCAATTCAGTTGTATTCTTATAACACCAAATTACAGCATTAGTAATTAACCAATTAACTTTATATTGCAAAGTCATATCGCTACAAGATTATAGAGTTTATAGAAGTTGCTAACAGTGGATTTGTTTAGCAAGAAGATGTCTTCAGCAGATCCGGTCTCGAGGACGTGTGGTGCAAGAGCATCTAGGGAAGAGGAGCATGGCACAGTGAAAAACAGACATGAAAACAATAAATGCAGGTTCAATAAGAGTGAGAAGGGGCAAAGCGAACAACAAATAAACTAGAGGAGAGAGAAGAAACAAAGTTAATGACCTGCAAAAGTGCCATATAAATGCATTAGAAGTAAGAAGAGGGGAACTGAGAGGTGCATTATTGCCGGTCCCTAAACTGCCTGGGCCTTTAGCAAGATGACTAAGGGATGGTTCAGAGTCAGTTAGTCATACAAGTTTGAATTCTGTCAGATGAATAATTGAACGCAAACATGCGACTTAATTAATAATTGAGAAGTCCTGATATGTTTTCTTCTTCTTCTTCTGGCTGCTTCCTTTAGGGGTTGCCACAGCAGATCATCTACCTTCATGTGACCTTCCCTAGTTTCCTCTTCCATCACTACATCCATGAATCTTCTCTGTAGTCCTCCTCATTTCCTCCGCCCTGGAAGCTCTGCCTTCATTGTTCTTTGTCCAGTTTTTCCACTATATCTCTTCTGCAGATGTCCAAACTATCTCAGCCTCGTCTCCCTAACTTTGTCTCCATATCGCTCAACCTGATCTTTCCTTCTGATACATTAATTTCTAATCACGTCCATTTCAGTCACACCCAAAGAAAACCTTAGCATCTTAAGTTCTGCCAGCTGTGTTATTGTTAGTGTTACTGTCTCCACACACATCATAGCAGGTCTTGTAAAGTTTCCCTTCACTCTTGCTGTCACCGTTCTGTTAAAAAAAAACCCGACACCCATCTCTACCCACTCCACCCTGCCTACACGCTCTTCTTCACCTCAATTTTGTGCTGTCTGTTGATTTTCAATGGTTTATTTAAGGTCATCCACATTCCTCTGCTCTCCAGCGCATACTTCCACATCTCAAGTCTCTTTTCAACCTGCTCTCTACTCTCACTACAGATCCCAATGCCATCTTCGAACAGAGACTCCTGCTGTTTGCCTGTCCATCACCATTACAAACAAGAGGGGGGCTCATAGCTGAACAGGGACGTGCAGAGAGGTTTAAAGGGGCGGGTGCTCAAAGTTAAAAAGGGGCACATTGAACCA